AGGATAGTTTAACTAGCTTCCTAACGTCGCTATGACGTCAGTCAAACTACTATCCAGCAGGTGCACTGTCCGGCGACTGTGCAACCTCGCTGAGCCTGGTGCTACCTGGCACGTCGCTGTGACGCTAACCAGACAGACACCACAGACACAGAAGAGCGCTATGCACTCTGTGCCTGCTTGGCAGTCACTCCTTCAGTTCGCTGTCTATAAGACTTGAAACTGGATTAGAATGAATTAAGGAAGGGAAGGGAAAACTAGCAGGATACGCAGTAGGAGCGCAGTGGGGTAAGGTGCACTGCAACATCAAGATGCAGTTCACTGTTCACTGAAGATGAAGATAGAAATCTCTCTATCTCTCTACTCCCCCTGGATTGAAACTCCGTGTAAATCCCAAATGATAGTGGACTTCAGCTTCATCATGAATGGAGTCAATTAAGCGAATGAAGTAGATGGGAATCGAGTATCTGCTAAGTACACGTTCTTCAGAAGACCTTCCTTGATATGTGTGAGTTAAAAGATTGATACACTCAACCAGTGTGATTACTTTGGGGATTGCTCATGACCCAAAGAAATACTATGCTCAACATGACACATTCGAGTGACGGGTTCTTAAGACCTTGATACCTGTACGGTTGAGGTCCATGGCAACCAACCGTTATTGTCTTCCGCACTATCGTCGCTGGAGACAGCTCTTTGTGCTTCTTGGCGAACACCCACGCAAGCAACACACAGGCAAGAGCATTTTCGTGAGGGAGAATGCTGAGCATGTTGGTCTTTGATGTTTTCCATGCGTTAAAGAGAGTTTGAACGAGATCGGGAGCATGTTGCACAGGAGTGTCAAACACATACAGGCTTTCAGGAATGGTATCCTCATCCTGCAATATTTGAAGAAAGTTAGGATAGTTTACTAGCTTCCTAACGTCGCTATGACGTCAGTCAAACTACTATCCAGCAGGTGCACTGTCCGGCGACTGTGCAACCTCGCTGAGCCTGGTGCTACCTGGCACGTCGCTGTGACGCTAACCAGACAGACACCACAGACACAGAAGAGCGCTATGCACTCTGTGCCTGCTTGGCAGTCACTCCTTCAGTTCGCTGTCTATAAGACTTGAAACTGGATTAGAATGAATTAAGGAAGGGAAGGGAAAACTAGCAGGATACGCAGTAGGAGCGCAGTGGGGTAAGGTGCACTGCAACATCAAGATGCAGTTCACTGTTCACTGAAGATGAAGATAGAAATCTCTCTATCTCTCTACGGGTATTACATCTAGCTGCCGCCGCGGGCCGCGCGCGGCGCCGGCCCGCGGTCGGCGCCGCGCGCTTCGCGCGGCGGGCCTGCGGCGCGGCGCTCGCGGCCTGGGCGGCCCGCGCGCGGCGGTCCGCGGCCCTGGGCCGGTTCCTCGCGGCGGGCGCGGGGCCCGCGGCGCTCCGCGCGCGGTCGCGGCGCCGGCGGCTCGCGCGGGGCCTCGGCGCGTGGCGGCGGCGCTGGGAGGCGCTCCACCGCGGCGCGGCGCCGGCGCTCGGCCGCTGGTGGAAGGCGCGAGTCGCCGACGTCGAGGGCCCCGCGGCCGCGGCGGACGTCGCGGCCGCGTTCCGGCGCCTCCGCCACGTCGCGCCGGCCTCGCGCGGCGCGCTCCGCACGTGGCGCGCGGCCGCGGCGGCGTCCGCGGCCGCCGCCGCGGACGGCGCGGCGCTCAGGAG